ATAGCCCAATAACACGATATATAGCCCAATTAGACGATATAGCCCAATTAGACGATATAGTCAATAACAAGATATTCGGTTTGTCGCTGAATCTGAAGGAGTATAGCAAAGACTACTCGTTTGAAAAAGACTGTATAAACGAACAACCACTGAAAAAAGAACTTCTTGAAGACATCGAGACTTTGGACAACGAAGTAAACCAGCATCTGAATCATGGAACAAGTACAATATATTTTTAGAAAAATACGGATCACATGTGGTGAGGAAAGTCTCGTCTGATTCCAGCATCAACCAATATGTTTTTGCAGAGTCTTCCAATAGATATTGCCAGTATGACTATATGACCAGTGTGTGTCTTTCCTTATGTGGTGTGACTAATGGGTGGATGCGCTAATATATCCAAAGAGGAAGTAAACAGTGCTGGACAGCGTTCCATGGTGGAAAAACTAGTTATCAGAGGCGGCAACCCCGAAACAAAAGCAGCGTTAGACAGTGGCCTTGACAAAAAAAAAAAAAAAAACAATCGCTACCTCTCTTCAAGAAGGAGTTAGCAACCTTTTGCCCATCATGTGCAAATTTGCTCCTACCTAATTTTTACCATGTTCCACCAAGCAAATGTTATGGAATTTTCAGTATGTTGTTTATATAGCTACTCTTAACACTAGAACAGTGAAAAACACTTTGTTGCAATTAGTTTGATCTTCCCCTATAAAATCTCATAGATTGACTGGACAATATGGGCGATTCTTAGGACAAGGTAACGATGATATTTTAGGTCTTTGGTATATTTAAGTTCTTCTTTGATAATATAATGCACGTCTAATTTGAAATTATGGAACAATTTATGGACCCAGCTTTGATGTCTACCTTGCTTATTTTATTACTTACAACCACCCAAATTGATACGACCAAACAAATTGATATTCAATATTTTTTTCTGCAAGTCTTGGAAATAAGAAGATTTCAAAATAATGATGAGGACGAAAACTACGATAAGAAATGCGCGAGTACTGATATCCATTACCATCATCATCATTATGTTATCATTATTATTATTATCATTCTATTCTTGACTTTTCAATTAAGTTCATACAATCTGATCGGGTTTAAATTATAAACCTTAGGTATTCTATTTTCCCTAAAAGACTGAACAAATAAATAAGATAAAATGACAATTAAAAAAAGATAATTAAATTAAATTAAAAAAAACTGCAACGGTAAAGCTTTACGTAAAATATGGGCAGTACTTAATAAACGATTTTTTGCATCATGCTGATATCTATCCTTATCCTTATCCTTACCAATAAGACAAGTATAAAGAATGAAAGTTAAGCATTGAAATAAAAGTAAAGAATGCATTCCATATTTTGTGCCAATTATATTTTATGCTGCTTCGACAAGGTAAACCTTATACTTACTTACAATGATTTTTGAAGACTCTATAAGATCGTAAAGGGTCTTAAAATATTATATTATATTTATTTATTCATTCATTCATTCATTCATTCATTCATCCATTCATTCATTCATCCATTCATCCATCCATTCAATTAGTGCATTTTTTGTCTCATTGTTACGCAAAATTTCACACGAGATTTTCGTGGGGTGCCGAGCTTAGCAATTTAATAAGCCACGTTCGGTATTTTAAAATTCAGTATTGATTGCGAGGCTTTAGTGGTATTTTACTTTATGTAATACACAAACAAGTGGATCACCAAATACATATCTTGGTAGGAGTTAAATAATGTACCATATACGACGTTCTTACCTTTCGGCAATAACGAAAACAATTGGACGTAATACTAAGAGATAGGTAGCTAAGAACTAGTGTGAGCTGCGTCGGTGTTTCTAATGAAACAATAATGATAAAAGGGTAAATTATACACCGTGAAAAGATGAAAAAACTTTCCAACGTTTCGGACGCTAGTCCTTCGTCGAAAGTAACTAGTCAGCTCACTACTCAACAACCTTATAAGCAAATAAAAAGCACTATGTTTTCTGAACGTTTTGAGGCTGCAATTTTGAACACATTATTCCTGGAGGGCCTCGGTATTACTAGACTTATAATATCGCGAAGGTGGCCCATTCTGGTCAGCCAGCAGTAAACCATAATAACCACGTTACTTAGAAAATTGTGATTACATGTTTAATTTAGTTGCCGTATGGGTGAAGAAGTAAAACTTCCTATAGTTTCTACAACGTCGCGGGTTGCACGACACCAAAACACTTTTAACACATGCATTTGAAATAGAATAAGAAAAAATATTTAAAAAAGTGAAATTACCCATAGCTGTCCTTTCTTACCAAACCCTTACATAAATATTTTAATTTTCCAAACAAACGATTTTAATGAGTTGAAAACAAACAAAAAAAAGTTTGAAGGTAACAAATATAGGTAAAGACTCTACGCCCATGGACGTTCTAAAAGTTCGTTCACTGACTTAGAACGTCTCAAAGTCGTAGAAAGAAAAAACGATGTATCGCGCGAAACTGCTATTCTCCAAACAATTTGGAAAAGTCTACAACTTTTTAAATCCACAAAAAGGCAACGGCTAGTATACCATTGCACAACGTGCAGTGCAAATAAGAAATTAATGGCGTCTAGTTTATATCTATACCATATATCTGTGAACAAAACTTTGCAAAAAATTGAACAAATTAGTAAATTCAGTAAACCGTGGACCTACAAAACTTAGTCACTAATTTGCACACTTTTGTTAATTAACTTTGTTCGTCCCCCCTCCTCCTCACAGATATATAGTATACACTCAATTCACCATAATATATATATATATATACTTGCAAAAAGGTTGTAGTATACATTTATAAATATATCTTATGAGATGCAAGATACCAAATGAGATGAAGAATGTAAAACGTAACTTATTTGGTCTTATTTATCTTCTATATCGGAGACATAAGTATTAATTGTACTAATTGTAGTCAAGTTAAGAGAGTATTTTCCACAAAATGTAGTGCTTAAGCAATCATATTTAAGCATGTTTTATGTTCTGCATCTCATTTGATATTTTGCATCTAATTAGATATATTTAGAAATGTATACTACAACGTTTTTGCAATCAAGTGTATATATATATTAATATATATATATATATCATTTAACTATAATATAACTATTTTGTGCAAATAACATCAATGCATGGTTTAGGAAGCCGTGTACTATTTTTTAAATATATTGATAAGTGATTAAAATCTAAAGTCATTAAACTCATCGTCACTTGCGTAGCAAAGAGCAGTCATCTGCCTCAGTCGTCTCCTTCTGGAGGGCCTTGGTGGAGGACCCCTACACCAATGACTTGTTATAGGGATATCTTGGAAAAGTGGCTTGCGCATCGTTTCCTCTGCAATTCTTGCTACTTCCATCCAGTCAACTCCATCACATAAATTGTTGTATGGGTTTGCAGGATCGATAACTCGTGGCAGCTTACTGAAATGAAATAAAACGGACTCAATCATTTTCGATCCATATTCCAAAAAAATAACTAGATATATCGCAGAGGTAATGCAATATAATTCATTTTACTAGTGTTCTTGAATTTAATATAGTTTTTAAACTATTTCATGATCAGGCAACCCAGCACCATTAAATACTTGGTTATAAAATAGTATAACTAACTTAATAGTCCCCTTCACGGTTCCCTGCGCCATCTTGAAAGGTAGCCGGGCCTTTGCATCGAAGCGAGACGAACGGTGACCTTGCAATGATAGAGACATGTGAATAATTGTCCAAGGTGTTAAAAAGGTTTCTATCATTGCAAGCTCACCGTTCGTCTCGCTTCTATGCAAAGGCACAGCTACCTTTCAAGATGGCGCAGGGAAGGGGACTATTGTACTCTATATGTTGCAAATAAAGTCGATTTTGTTCTTGTGGATGTTGTTGTTGTTAGATTTACTTACTGATCACTCATTTCTTGATTTTCCTGGTAGTAGCGATGCCAAACTGCGTTGAGATTTTGGTAATTATTCAATTCCTCCATTACAGCCTTGAATGCTATGGCCATGTTAATAGTTGTTGGTTTGTCAACCTTTTCCCAGGCATGGATAGTGATAAGTTCGAGTAGGTAGGAACTGGGTGCATGGGCAATATTGCCTTGTTTTACGAACCTTTTACACCAGTATTTAACAAGGCGAATAAGATCTTTAATACGTGCTGGCAGTTCTTTTACAAAATCTCTTTGAAGCTCTGTGAGAGCTGCTGAGTAGTATCGCCGAGTGTTCGCGTTTTTTAATCTCATTTCTCTGTAGATTTCATTCAAATCTTTTTGAAAATAAAGAAAATGGAAAACATGGTAATTAGAAAAAAATTGACATTCAGTTATCTAAAAAACTGAAACAATCGAAAGTACAAAAACGTAAAACTGCAAAATTGTAATTACCAGATTCTGGTATGTTAAAAGTTGGAAGGAGGTCAACTTCAACAACCCCACTTGGCGACGATATCTTTGTCATAGTGAACTGTACGCTAAACGGTGTCATGCGTTCAAATGTTATCTTCCAGCCATGTTGATGAGCCGACCGTGCTGGTAAAGTGTCCAAGCAACTCTTAAGGTCACCTTTGACTTCATCAATGTCATGTATGAGATCCTCGACGTTTTTCATTTCATTTAGCACCAAAACACAATCAAGGTCTGATGTGCCTTTCAAAGCGGTTCCTTTTCCTAAAGATCCACCCTAAATGAAAAGGCAGACAAAATCTTTGAAGCAAATGTAAACAAGTAATTGGGATGGAGAAAGGGTTAATGCTTCTTTATTCTGAATAGAAAGTATTTGTCTATGTAATTACGTTGGGAATGTAGGTCCACCTATCAACTTCCAAAATCGTAGCGAGCGAGAGATCTTCTGGATCCTAGCTGAATACTGTCTACTAAGCTTGGTACCAACAAAAGCTAGAAAAAATACTGTACTGCTAGATTTAGCTATTCTTATTCTTAGATTGCATGGTACGTCATATCCTTCATTTTGGCTGACGATAATAAAGATTGCATGAAAAAAACGACAATTTTTATTGTAAGCAAGCAAACTTGAAAGTCACGAATTCAAACCACTGGCCGGTGAGCTGCAAAAACGAAAACATAGTCGCCGTGTCTTTTGTTATTTCACTCCCTTGGGAGAGATTGAAAACGAGCAATAAAACCGTTAAAGTAAAATTGAGCAATAGCCTTTCAAATTTCTGCAAGAACTCAAACCCTGCTTTTTTTGTCTTTATTCTTTAAAATAAAGCTACTTACCTTAATCATTCTATTTGCCGAATAGTCACAATTGTGCTGTATATGATGGCATAAATCGTTGGTGGCGTTTGATATCAGGTCGCGAAACTCCTTGTTCGTTTGAAGTTCTGCACTGATTAATTTGTTCAAGAAATGCGATTTCCTTTTAGGAGCTATTTTAGCGTTCCTAAAATCAAAACCTTAAAAGAGAGAAAAAAGGAAAATAATAAAAGCTAGATATAACAGCTACTGAACTGCCAGTGTGGTTGATTCATTATTATTTCTTGATTAATTTCTTATGAGAGATCTAACGCTACGAATATAATTGATGTAACGGTGAAATTTATGTTGCTTAATTAAACAAGTAAAATTATCGTGTAGATGACGCTTATGCTCAACAAATAGTTGAGTGTAAGCTTATATTATACACTCAACTGCAAAATAATTGGGCTAAAGAGAAAGTATATAAGCTGAGATCGAAATGGAACATGGGAAGTACGTTAATTAGATACATACATACGTTCAGCCGGTATAACCTCCTTGAAATAATTTCGAGGAAATTATACCAGCTCAACGTAAGCTAACAACTCGTGGAATCATTATAAATTGTCCAGACCGGAAAGCATGGAGCCAGGCAGTTTTTAAACACGTTTCATATAGACTTTGTACAATCTCTAATGAATAGGCATGAAGTTATTGTCATTTCCTAGAATACTCAGCTGCTTTGAACCAAACATTGATTTCGCATTTTAGTGTATGCTCAGCATATATAGAACCCGTCAGTAGTATATAGACAACAGCTTCTGTGCTTTCGTGATAATTCACGTACATTTACGTTATCATAATATAAATACACATACTCTGATAAAATAATTTAAAGGGACTTACCGTGTGGGTCGTAGATGTTTTTAAATCTGTAATTCCACGGCATGTTGGATAGAAGAAGTCTTCACTAGAAAGCGAATTAAGCAACTGCTTCTTTGAAAGAGGTTTTAAATATTATTTACTCATACTGAACGCGAAATTCCCTTGTATTTTTCATTGGTAGACATTTGGCTCCCTCAACCGAGCCTATTATGACGAAGAAAATTAATCTTTAAATCAACGTATTCATTATGATTATTTTACATTGCTTCGGTAAAATCCCTGCGGGAAACCCCCTAATAAATGTCACGTCACATGTCACGGTGATAGCGCCTGAGCTATCTATTGAATGTGTTTTAACCATAACATATTTCAAATTTTAAAAATCTTCAGATTTCTTTGTGTAATATCGATCGCTAATAAATCGACTTCAATCTTATTTCATTAAGCTGAATTCTTAAACTCGAACAGGTTGTTTGGCCACCTGTTTTCAAAGTAACATTCCGTTGGAAAACATCCGGGGGTGTTTTCCCGACGTATGGTGTACGCAAAGGCAACGTTAAAGTTATTACTGACATCAATTAGCAAATTTAAAATTATATACATTTATCATATTATATAGGAATATGAATAGTTCCATTTCTCCAGTTTCGAATTCTCTCTGCTCAGACTTAGTCTCGGTTGAGAGTGCACCCATATTTGGTCGAGATGCCATAGGCTCACAAATGTTGAGGATGTTTCGAACCAAATATGAAAATCATATCGGTTATATGAGTGACCGAATTCAAAACTTCTTTTATCCACCAATCCTATTGATGCCTCCATCATCTCAACATATAAAAATCGTTCTAACTTAGCTTCTTACTACTTTCTTAGTTTGTCCTGACCAGCAGGTTCGATTGAGCTAAGATGCATTTTCGTTTACTGTGCGGACACTCGAACCATAACTTCAAGGTTTTTAACATTTTTCGAATTATTTAATCAGAAGCCAGCTTTTTACCGAGGTTGCAACATTCTTCCAGAGTCTCGTGTATATATACCTGTGTATTTTTACTAAGTATCTATATATGCTAAAAAAATACTATTTTGTTCAAAGGAAGGCAATGCTTTAATTGAGAAAACAAAATTGCAATCTGAAACATCTTTTGAACATGAACAACAATAGGCTCGGGACATGCACTAGATCATGTTAATCCAAAACACATACCAAGGCATATTTAAATGTGTTTTTCAACTTATGATACAGTAACTTGCAGAACTGCTTTCTTCATAAACTTCCTCTTCATCTTCATCTCTAGTATCCAAAACAGAGCTCCTGTAATTCCGTAGCAGCGGCTTCCTTAAAGTTTCTCTGGCTACTCTTTCTACCCTTTTCCAGTCTCTCACAACTTCATACACGTTGGCGTAAGGGTTAGCAGGATCCATTATACAGGGCCTGAAAGGAGACAAAGAGGAATGGGGCGTTTACATGATGACGTCATTTTACTACCACTACTAACATTTTCGCGAATTTTACCGATTTGCTGCGCTCCTGAATTGATGAATTTGTAAAGAACGTATGGTTTCTTCAGTTAAAAAGGTATCTTTACCACAAATGTAATTTTCACGCTTTCTGATTCGTCGAGAGCAGTTATAAATAAGGACATACGAAGAAATTACGTCAACAAATTACTAATCACTCGCAAATTTCCGATGGTTTATCGTTGTATGTCCTCTTTTTTTTTACCACGATATGACTTCAATAGCTTGTCAAAATGTTTTATGTACCCACTCTTTTGACTAACCATTGACGTCATATCGTGGTAAATGAGAGGACACATCGCGCAAAACTATCATTAGACTATTATTAGATTTAAAGCAATGTCAGCAAAGCTTCCAAATATTAAGAATAAAATTTTGAAGAATAACTATCTTTTTTACTCATTTGATGATCTAGGATAACCTGTGGACAGCTTTCAGGGATGGAGGAAGGGAAAGAGTTAAGAGTTGGAAGGAAAAGAAAGAAAAATGGTACTTTATCCCATTACCACTTTCCTTTAATCCTTCGCCGAGTCAAGTCCCTGCACTGAGGGTCCTGAAAAGACACTTCATTGGGGAGAATTGATAGGATTATCTTACTTTTCATATTGAATCCTAGATGCACTGTAGTACTGATCCCACTTGACATTTAGCTGCCTGTAATTATACAGTGCTTCCATTACATCTTTGAACAACAGGGCTGTACAAAAAGAAGGTTGGCTTCCTGCATTCTCCTAAACACTGATCGTCAGAAGTTCTAACAGGTATGAATTAGGCACCCGCGGCTGTCCATCATATTCCAATGGTAGATACGTCTTGCACCAGTGCTTCACCAGGCGAATAAGGTTTTTGAGCTTAGCTGGCCTCTGCTTTATAAAGTCACGCTGTAACTCTGCTAGTGCTGCAGAGCATAAGGCTTCTGTATACCGGTCGTATAGTGCCATGGAATTATAAAGCTGGTCGCGAGAATCTTCTGCGATAAAAAAAAGCACAACTTTTAGCCGCTTGATATACTAGGAAGACAACGTGCAAATAAACTCTTCCCGATTTAACTTGAGTGACCATAAGATAATTGTTTCAAGTTGGTGTTTCCTGATATGATACTCATTAATTATTATCTTCTTCCTTTGACTGCAATTAATCATATTTACTTTGGACTATTTACTAGCTACATTGGAATCGTAAAATACAGTGAGTAAATGTATAAAAGGATCAAGTCAGTCCAACTTCGACTTGAATAAATTGCTATATTTAGCAATTACATTTTCTTCTTCAGGTAGAATATTTAAATTTAAGGAATATAAACAAGCTGCTGGGATCACTGTAGGGCACGAGAGAAGCAAAACATAGGAACACGAGGCGTAGCCATGTCACTAAAAACCAAAACATTAAATTTAACTTTAATTCAAACTTGTTTGTATTCTTATATATTTGACCGAGTAAGTAAGTAAGTAAGTAAGTAAGTAAGTAAG